GAGGTTAATAGTTTTAGATATTTATTCATAACATAAACAGTGCTAGCATTTCTGTCGATTTTATTTCAGCTTAACCGGCCGCTATCCGGAAGAAAACATGCACCGTACTAACTGCTAGGGCAGTTATTTTCTGCTTTGAATACTTCCCACTGGCAATAATGATTCCGTAACGTTTCCCTTGCGCTATCTTTTGACCATTTGGCAACTTTTCGCTTCGTAGCTGACACGGTACAACACTTTTCTTTCGCTTACTTCACACGGCCAGTCATTTTGTTTACAAAGAAATGGTGTGCTATGCGCATGCGCTAGTAGAGGGAAATCCCTGAACAAAACGTTGGTCAGACAGGTAGAAATACCTTAGATTTAATCATTTTTATGAATCTATTTCAGTCAAATCCGATCGTTATTTTCCATAAGGAGTCTCACTTGATATGTTTATGTAGTATTTGAAAAAAAGACACAAAAAAAGTTACTTTAGCGTGATGCCCCTTTAATGATGTTGAAGATAGAGGATCTTTTTTTCAAACTGCATTTTTTGTCAGATCTGTTAATAAGATTTCTCAGTATGTGTCTAGAAAAGTTACAAAATAACATAATTTTTATTATTGTGAAATTCTGTTGAAAATATATCAGTTGAATTTCACTATTGTTTTGCCTAAAAATGAGCCAATAAGCATAAAGTGTCAAGACTACATAGGGAAACCTTGAGTATAAAAAGAATGTAAGATTATTTCTTCTTTCATACGTGGGGTAAAAGATAGGGAAATCCCAGCCAAGATTTTTATCAAATTGGGTAAAACTCAACACTTGCAAAGGATGGTATTTCCCTATCCAACATCTCATGACATAAAAAGTACTTTTCTCTCATTCCAATCACCAGAATAAGCTCAAAATCCACAAAATACATTGAAAATTCGACTTCTTTGCATGGGAATGTTCCATAGTTCATGACATTGCATCATTTTTGTCCCATGGCATATGAAATCGGTTGTAAGAATTTTCTTACACCCATTACTTGCCCTGGACAATGTTAACCCTGTAGGTTGAGACTCCCCATCTCTCCTTGTGTGCATGAATGACATTTATCTTTAAAGTCTGTTTCCATAATTTCAAGCAAATCAGAGTTATCTCCCGTGATCTGCTATTGTTGATGTGACATGATTGTGTTATTGACCTGACGCATGCAATTGTTATAAGAGGAGTCCCTCCGTCTTTACTCTAGGTTAAGACAGAGATATGTTTCCCTGACCAGAAGTGTAGATACCTCTGTCTAATGGGGGAGAAAAGGGCATCTAGCTCACACCTGTGGATACAACACTCCAGTAAATGATATATCTCATAACACAGGATAAACAGCTGTAACCAGCCGGCCTGATTGTACTTTATGTTTTATTTTAAACTTTTCATGATTTAAACATGTTGTCTTAGAAATATATTGCATGCTATCATCAAGACATTCCTGTGTCATTAAAATATACTTGATCATATTATTTGGAATATTTATATGAACCTGT